CAGTACTGTGAGCTTTTCATTAAAGTTTCCTTAATACAAAGAGAAGAGATGCTTAAACCTGCTGGATAACTATGCATCATACAAAAGTATATACAATTTATAAATTTACAAAAATATTCAAATAACATAAAAGGGGTGTATTCAATTGAAAATTTGAGAGACTTTAATGGATTTATAAATCTATAGATTTTTATGAAGTTGAATTGATTTGTAGGGATTCCATATAAAATTTTGATTCAATTCCCTTGAAATCTTATGAGAAGATGTGAGATTTGTGGATGCTTAAAATACATTACGAAATCTCTTCAATTCTCTCTAATTCCTTAACTTTATCAAATTCTTTAAAATCAATTTATAATTGAATACGCCTGTTATAAACTTCTTTAAATATTAATTAAATATACCCGGATTTCAAAGAATTTTAATAAACTATCTTAAAAGTCTAATTGAATACACATTGAATTTCAAATAAACACTTAAAATTCTAATTGAATACTTATACATCCATTAAAAGAATTAAAATCTCTCAAAATTCTAATTGAATATGCTCCTAAAAATGATAAAATTAAAAGAATTATAACAAATAAGAAGAAAACTAAGAAACTTACATGATGCTGCCGACCGACTCGAATTCACGGTGTAAAACTAGTATTTTCCTTCTCTGTTTTCTTAGGACGTGAGGTAGTCATCTAATTTGAGCCCTTTATTTTCTAGCCCAACTTATATATCCTCTTACTTTTGCTGAGATCGCAATTGCATTGCATGAGGACTTTAGTTTAACGAAGTGAGGTTTGCTGAATTTGTCCAGCGAAATGAAACTGAAGAGGACGATGAAAAGGATAACTACAAGAGATCTCTTAAAATGTTATGAACGTGTTTAAAATAGAGAGAATAACCTTCATGCACGTGCTCACGCTCGTGCAGAAGACATTTTTTGAATCACGGCATACTACGCGTGACCTACACGTTTTAAATCATATTAGAAGAAAAGTCAAATATTTGAAGTAAATGAATAATCTTAAATCATGCTAGAAGAAACCCCTCATAAACCAATTACAGTAGCTGAATTCACATAATAAAATCAGTCTCTATAGAATTTACATTAAGAATAGAGAAAATAATATTTAATTATTAATTGATTGAATCATATTATTATTAGCTCATTGTGAGACAAAACCCACCCCCTTCCCCTTAGTGTAGATAATATCATTTGTTAAAAAAAATCATTTGACAACTAATTTAATCACATTATTATCTGCATGCGAAAGACTTTTTTATAACTGGCATGACAGGTCTCTTAAGATGTTTTGAACGTGTTTAAAATAGAGAGAATAATATTTAATAAACAACTAATTGAATCACATTATTACTAGCCCACTATGAGACTAAGCCCACCTCATTCCCCCTTAGTATAGAAAATATCGTTTGTTACAAAAAAAAAAAAAAAAATCATTTGACAACTAATTTAATCACATTATTATCCGCGTGCGAAAGATTTTTTTTATAACCGGTATTATACGTCTCTTAAGATGTTTTGAATGTGTTTAAAAATAGATAAATTGAATCACATTATTACTAGCCTATTGTGAGGTACTAATTAAAAAAAAAAATTAAATAAATAATAAAAAACCCCACAAAATCATTAATTATTAAAAAATACTATGAAAATGACAAAAATGCCTTTGCCTTATTTGATACATTATTTTGGAATGCCTTTAAAGTTTTTTGTTTTGGAGGCATTTTTGTCCAATTATTTTTAGTAAAGTATTATGACACCAAAACACTATTCACTTTTGTGTTGGCTATATATAATAGAATAGATAAGAACTCTCAGATGTTAGTGAGAATTGTTAGTCATGCATATGCATCTAACTTTTATCTGCAAATCTATCACATACGACTTTTATCTTCCTATGCAACTCCACCACCGTCATCTGCTTCTGTCAAGGAAACCGAGTTTCATACGCAGTCCTAGTCCTAAGCGTTTTTGCTTCTCTATATGTACTTGGATTTCCTTTTGATTAGGAATCCTTCGCTGCATTAATAATAGGGAACTTTATCGAAAAGCTCTTGGTATTGTTCATTTTAACGAAAAATCATATTTTTACACTAAAAAGTCAATCATGGTACTATTCACTTTAGCCTTTATTTTGTCATATTCGTTAAAACTCAAGGTTTTCAAATATTTTTCATTAGTTTTCCTTTAATAATATACACAACTCATTCAGTATATGTGTCGTGTGCGTGTTTAGAGGTTGATGATGAAGTTGTTTGCTCTTTGAATTATGTGCTTCAGCCAGCAACGTTCTCCTAGAACAATCCGCTGAAAACAAAAAACAACCAACTCATGGAGCAAACTCAAAATTAGTCACAGCAAGGTGAACTCATTCGTGGAATTCTAGAAGTGAACTCGTTTTCAGCGAGTTCAGCTTTTTAAAATAATTGAAAGCGATTTTGAGGAAAATATTTTTAGAATCAATATTTAGTAAAAACGAAGGTGAGTCCTGAAAAAACATTTTCTTGCTTCGTGCAAGAAGCACATAATTGTTTTCTGGCAAGAAATACTTTAAATGCTTTTAGAATCTAAAAATATTTTCTCTAAAAAATTATTTTCAAAGCAATTTCAAACAAGACCTACATTGATCAAGATATTGATTTTTTAATACTTCTTTGGTTATGCTTCTAGGATTTGGCTTTGCTTATTGGGGGATTTTACAATGTTATTTTTTGGTTGACTACTTTTAGGGTTTAGAATGTGAAACAAAAATTATGATTTTGGAATGAAACAAACAAAATTTAGTGATTGGATAAGTATGCAGTAACTTGGTGATTTGATTTAAAAAATTTAATCTCCTTAACATTATTTTAAGTCGTTTTAGTGTGACTCAACAAAGTTATTAAAAGAGAAAATTAGAATTAGATGCCTCCTTTGAAACTTTTGTAGACTAAACATTTATGCTTTTTGAGTTTTTGATTAAGCTTTTGAAACATTTGATTAAGATACTCAGACTTGAACTACTTCAGATTAATTGAAATTAATTTACATTTAAATATCTGCTATATATTTTAAAGGATGAAGTGCCGATTTAGTCCTTGAACTATCACCTCAGTGAAAATTAGGTCCCTGAATTAGTTTTTCGATAAAATAAGTCCCTAAATTCATTAGAAATTGCTAATTTCATCTCTACTATTATATTCAAAGCTATTTTATCCAATTTTTCGTCAACTTAAGTCACTTGACACACTTTAGAGTGTAATACCATCATCCTCGTCTATAAGTGCTTAACATATCATATAGGTTGCGAATTTAATGTCTAATTTACACTCAAAAGTTAACTTATACTATTTCTTTATGAAAAACTACCAATTTCTCCTCCAAAGTTAACTCCATACACTATTTCTTTATGAAAAACTACCAATCTACATTCCAATGTGTATCACATACAAGTAACGTGACTTAAATTGACGGAAAATTGAATATAGTAGCTTCGAATATAACATTAGGGATGTAATTGGCAGATTTTTATAATTCAGGGACTAATTTTTCTGAAAAAATAGTTAACGGACCTAATTTTCACTAAGGTGATAATTTAGGGACTAAATTGGCAGTTTATCCTATTTTAAATAATTTTAACTATATTTAAGTCTAAAAATTTAAACTTTTCAAATCTAAATGTACACCCACGCCAAATGAAAACGTACCAACATTAAATGAAAACGTACCAATGTCAAACAAAAACGTACCAACCCTGAATTAAAACGTACTCAATTATAAACTATATTAAAATGAATATTCATCTTTTTGGAATGTTTAAAAATATGTTTGATTCATACACAATGTTCTAGATAGGTTTTTTATTTGGTAGATAAGTCTCTGGAACAACTTTTAGTTGATCGGAGATAAATCCTTATTATTGTAGATAATGCTAAATAATAACAATAAATCATATAATTTTGAATTAACAAAAAGGTTATTATCCGTTGATTAATGACTCTTTCTATAAAAATAATAATTAATTAAAGTGATTTAAACTTTTACATTGTTAATGACTCTTTCTATAAAAAAAAAAAATTAATTAAAGTAATTCCTCATTATTAGGACAAAAAGTAATAAAACTTATGTTTTGAAAACAAACGTACCAAAAACTAAATGTACCAAAAATTCAAATGGACCAAAAAATCAAATGTACCATTATAATCAAACATACCTAACAACGAGTTTTGTTACATTCTATTTAATTTACTAAAATATATATATTTAATAAAAAATAAAAAAATCTTAAATCATCATAATAAGAGATGCATAAAAATAGGAGGAAAAAAGGGAATGCTAACGTGAATAGACTTCTAATGAAATAAAATTAAAGTACCAAAATTGTAGGGAAAATGTTTAATCAAATTTGCAAAAGGAATAGATGTTTAGTCTATGAAATTTAAAAATCAGGCGTCTAATTCAAAACGTCTCTTATTAAAAAGCCAATTACATATATAAGTACACAGTAACTTATATATCAACTACTTGCTCATGTGCGTGAGGTAGTTTTTTTTTTCTTAAGTCGTTTTAGTGTGACACAACAAAGTCATTAAAAAGCAACTTACATGTATAAGTACAGAGTAACTTACATATCAACTACTTGCTCATGTGCATGAGGTAGTTTTTATTTATTTATTTATTTTTGTGAGTAAAGCGATAGCATTAATAAGTTAAATGTTAGATTAGTTACCGACGGAATTCAAACTCACGCTGCCATGTCAAGGTATAATACATTTCTACCACTGTGACAAAATGCCACTTGCTCATGTGCGTGAGGTAGTTTTATTTTGTATTTTTATAGTTTTTTTTCTTTTTAATTAAGCTGTATTCCTTACAAAAATTAAACAATTGAGCGGTATTTTAAGAACTTTTTTAAAACTTCACCTTTTTAGTAGATATATAGATTATAACACTGTAAATACATGTTGCATACTTCACTGGAATTAGGGTTTGAAACAATAACCAATTTTTTTTTTTTTTTTTTTTTTTAATTCAATCCTAGTTCTAATTTCTTGTTAATTGGAAACAACACACCCCTAATCTACGACGATCAAATTACAAAGCAAAAATTTCGATAAGTTTACCCTGTTTGACTATGATAGCAATGGCAATGAGGCCAGCCTTCTCAAATTCACGGCTCCAAGCCAACATCACCCCACCGGACTTTGTATCTTGCTGCAAGATAGTGTGCCCCGACAGGACCTCTGCTTCCGTAAGGATAGTATTCGGGAATAACCTTCTTCTCTTCTATCTCTTTCAACAAGGGTGTGAAGAGAGACCAAGCTGCATCAAGTTCATCACTCCGGATAAACAGCCTCCTTTCCCCTTCAATAGCATCCAGCAGAAGCCTCTCATAAGCATCCGGAATCTCCTTTGAATATCTGGCTGCGTAGTGAAGATTTAGATTGCTCCTGTCCAACCTCATTCCCAAACCAGGGACTTTGTTATTGATCTTCAGGACAATAGCTTCATCAGGCTGTACACGGATAACAAGCTCATTTGTTGCGTGATCAAGCTCCGTTCCAATATTTCGATACAAATTTCCAGGTACATGCCGAAACTGTACCCTTATCTCAGCCCTCTTATTATGTAATGCTTTCCCAGCCTTCATTAAGAAAGGCACCCCATCCCATCTTGCGTTGTCTATGAAGAGAGCAGCTGCAGCAAATGTTGGAGTCAAGCTGTCTTTGGGTACCGTCTTGTCATCAGTGTATGCTGGGTAAGTAATACCACCTCTAACATGACTCTTGTATTGCCCTGTGACCACATTTTCAAGTTGTAGTGGCCTCATAGAACGTAAAACTTTAACCTTCTCGTTTCTAATATCTTCTGCATCCAAACTGACAGGGGTTTCCATTGCAAAGAGTGCCAGTATCTGAAGCAAGTGATTCTGCATTATATCTCTTATTATCCCGTAGTTGTCAAAATACCCTCCACGTCCTTCAGTGCCAAAATCTTCAGAGAATATTAACTGTACATTTCTTATATACTGCCTTGACCACAAGGGCTCAAAAATAAGGTTGGAGAAGCGGAGAACTGATAGGTTTTCCACAAGCTCCTTGCCCAGATAGTGGTCTATCCTGAAAATTTGGTCCTCTTCTAGGTACTGCTTGAGGGCCTTGGTCAAAGCAGCAGATGACTCTGAATCTCGGCCAAAGGGTTTCTCCACAATAACCCTAGTCCAGCCATTACCAGATGAGGCTGACAAGCTAGCACAGCGAACAGCGTCAATGAATATGTTTGGAGGGACAGACAGATAGAACAGGCGATTAGGAACTCTTCCCACCTCATGTTCCTTCAGCTTCTTGTCCAGCTCTGCGAAATGATCCTGCGAATCATACTGACCAGAATGATAGAAACATGTTTGAAGAAATTGGTCCATTTTTTCACCGCAATTCTTCCTCTTGTCAATACGGCAAGTAAGCGTCTTGCTAACCATGTCTCTGAGCTCGGCATCGGTCATCTTACTCCGAGCATAACCGTAAATAGTGAAGTGCTTCGGGAGGCAATCCTCGTAAAAAAGTGCGAAAAGTGCGGGGAATATCTTCTTCTTTGAAACAATAACCAATTGAAGTCAGTTTCTTTTCAATTGCAGCTTGATTCCAGTGAAGGATTGAAATTCATGGGATTTCATGAACTGGGCTGAATCTGTGGAAGATGAAGATGAAGGTGATAACCACGAGACTTCCTAACTCAACAGGTAATCCTTCATTCGTTTTTACCTTTCTGCACAAAAAAGATGGATTTCATTCCGCTGCTGGTAATGCTAATGCTACTAGTACAGATAGATTTAAACAAACCCATTTGGAATCGGACAATTTGATTCAAACTCGATGCAAATCTGGAAAAATTAGGAAAGATGAAGCATTGGGTTACTTCGATTCCATGATTCAAACCAAACCCTTGCCCTCTCTTGGGACTTTCAGTTGTTTGTTTGGGGCACTCTCCAAGATGAAGGAGTATTCTGCTGTCGTTTCTATGTGTAAACAGTTGATGTGTTGCGCTCAATTTCGACCTGATGTCTGTACAATGAATATTTTTCTGAATTGCTTGTGCCGTCTGAACCGGGTGGACTTGGGTTTCTCTGTTTTAGCAATTACCCTTAAATACGGTCTTCAACCCGATTCTTATTCTATAAGTATTTTACTTCACGGGCTTTGCAAGTACAGTTCCTGGGATGAGGCAATGGAGCTGTTCAAGTTAATAGAAGAGAAGGGATACACATGCAATGAAATCACTTATGCTACCATGATCAATGGACTATGCAAGGCTGGGAAAACTTCGAAGGCACTCGAGATACTAATGAAGATGTGGGAAGATGGAAGATTGAAGCCCAACCAAAATTGCTACAATCCAATTATGGATAGCCTCTGTAAAGAAAGACGAATAGACGACGCCTTGACCCTATTTCGAGATATGATCAGCAAAAGTGTTGTACCAGGTATTATCACTTATTCCACATTGATTCATGGGTTATGCAACACGAGCCGCTGGGAAGAAATGCTCTCTCTTTTTGAAGGAATGGTAGATCAAGGAGTCAAGCCTAATGTTATCACCTACAACACTCTAATTTATGCATTGTGCCAATCGGGGAGGATGGAAAAGGCCAAGAGCTACTTGATTTGCATGCTTAACAGTGGAATTTCACCAGATGTATACACATATAGTATTCTTATCAGCAGTCTTTGCAAGGAAGAAAAAATTCAAGAAGCGCTTACTCTGTTGGAAAATATGACAACGAAAGGCATAAAGCCTGATGTTGTCACTTTTACTTCCTTGATTTCTGCATCATGCAAGTCTGGTAACTGGGAGGAAGGTGTGAGGTTATTCAAAACCATGATTGGTTATGGAGCCTTGCCTAATATTGTTACATATAATTCTGTACTGGATGCTTTATGCAAGGAAGGGAAGACAGCAGAGGCACTGAATCTTGTGGAAGAAATGATCAGTAGGGGGGAAAAGCCTAATGTTGTGACTTACAGCTCCTTAATTAATGGATTGTGCCGGACCAGCCAATGGAGAGAAGCCACAAGGTTGTTTAATAGAATGCTGGATGAAGGTATTGCCCCAAATGTTATAACCTATAATAATATGATAAGTTCTCTATGCAAGGAGGGGAGGACCGAGGAAGCCCTCAGTATGTTAAAGTTAATGACTCAAAGAGGTCTGATACCTGATGTATCACTTATAACAGTTTAATCCGTGGCATGTGCCGTACAGCTCAATGGGAAGAAGCCACAAGGTTGTTTGATGATATGGTAGGCCGGGGACTCTTGCCTGATACCGTTACTTTGGTAATACTTTTGGATGCTATCTGCAAAGGTAGGATGACAGAAGAGAATCACAAAATATTTGAGGCAACAATTGAATACGGTATGAAACTTAGTACAATAACTTGCAGTATGGTGGTTAATGAATATTGTTTGCATGGCAGAATGGATAAGGCAAAGGCGTTCTTGAACTTAATGGTGGTTATGGGTTATGCGCCTGATATTGCTTCCTATAAAACCTTGGTCAGCGGCTATATAAACGTTAACAGAATAGGTGAAGCTTTGAGGCTTGTTAAAGAAATGATCCAAATAGGATTGATGCCTGATCTAGAAATGCAACAAACTTTGGGGCGTTTTCGTCGTAAAAGGCATATTGGATTAGCAGAGTAAAGCTCAAATTGTCCAACACATATATTTGTATCCTGATTGTTGACATTGTTGATGTTCCTTAAACACAACCAGCTATATGATGTTTTATACAACCTGCAAACTTTCGGTTGACTCTTCCTGTGGAAACATTTCTGTGGGCTTTTAAATGCTTAGAGCAAGATGGAATTCTATTCCATTAACTATTTGTTGATTTGATTTCTTGCAGTCAAGGATCTTAACAAGTTCGTCCAAGCACCACCTTGAGGAAGCATAGTTTTTTAGAACACAATGACGGAAATCCTCGATTCTTCAATCGCTTTGAGGAGCTCTGTGGATATTTCTTCTCATCTGGATATTTTCTTGTCATTGACATTATTTTACAAACAAAGTGGAAAAGGAAAATTACAAAAGCACCCCATACCTTGAGAAACACGATACAACATCATAATTAATATTCATCAATTCGAAAATAAAATAAATAAAAAATTGCATTGAACATTCATAATGTAAAATTAACATTGAAAATCCAAATAAAATCGAAATAATTAAAGTACATAGGTTTTCTCTTGTTCTCTATTTGCTTGGCATGTGATATGCAAGTGGTTAATTAATTTGGGCCTTATATTTCCAAGCCCAACATAAATACCTTCTTCCTTATTTTTTTCCTCTTCCCCAAAAGTGACTAGTTTAAAGAAGTGAGATACGTTGAATTCGTGTAGCCAATTGAAACAGAAGATGAAGACGAAGAGGATGACCACAAGACCTCCATCTCTGGGTAATTTTCCTTCTTTCCATTTTACCATTTTACCATTTTGCTGAATATAAGTAGTGGATTTCACTCTGACGCTGTCAATGTAGTCTATAAAAATAAGTGTCACAAATCAATGTGGTCCTTCCGTCATGTATAAACAGGTGATGGTTTGCGCTCAATTCCGACCTGATGTCTATACAATGAATATTGTTCCGAATTGATTGTGCTGTCTGAATCGCGTGGATTTGAGTTTCTCTGTTTTAGCAATTACCCTTAAATATGGTCTTCAACCCGATGCTCATTCTTTAGCTAGTTTGCTTCACGGGCTTTGCAAGTATAGTTCCTGCGCTGAGGCATTGCAGCTCTCCAAGTTACGAGAAAGGATACACATGCGACGAAATCACTTGTGCTGTCATGATCAATGGACTATGCAAAGTTGGGAAACTTCTGCGGCGCTCGAGATGCTTAGGAAGATGTGGGAACATGGAAGGTTCAAGCCCAACCAAGTATGCTACAATCCAATCATCGAGAGCCTGTGTAAAGAAAGCCGAATAGATGAGGCCTTGACCCTATTTCAAGATATGACCCACAAAAGTGTTGTGCCGAATACCGTCAATTATAACACTTTGATCCATGGGTTATGCAACATGAGTCGCTAACTCTGGTTCTTTCGAAGAAGACCTTGATTTGAAAAGAGAAATCAACACCTTGCTTGATCCATTGAATGATCAAACAATTTTTCTTTTAATACTCAAGGGGATTTGGAGGACCAGCGAGGTGATCGCAAATCTCACAAAGGAAGAAGTGCTCTCTATGTTTGAAGAAATGGTGGATCAAGGAGTCCGGCCAGATGTTGTCACAAATCGATGACATGTTGGGTCTTTTGATTCTTGATCCTATCACAAAAAATTTAAATCTATACATACCAAAAGAGTAGAGAAATTGAAACAAGCGAAAGCAGAAGGAAGTGTAAAAGTAATAATGTATACTTATCCAAGACAGTCCACCCAGACAAGTGTGCTACTTCTGAAGGAGCTGCCCTCCATTTTTGGATCTTGTCAACGTTATCCTTATATTTGCACTCAAGGTAAGCAAGTCCATCACCAAAACAACCGTTTTGATTTCGCACATCCGAGGGACTCACCTTGTAAAATACCGGTACCACCATTTGTTGGTGTGATTTCTTCCAGTCAAGGATCTTAACAAGTTTGTCCAAACACCACCTTAAGGAATCATAGTTTTCGGAGAATACAATGACAGAAATCCTCGACTCTTCAATCGCTTTGAGGAACGCTGTTGATATTTCTTCTCCTCTTGAAAGATAATCATCCATGAAGGTGTCAATTCCTTCTTGACGCAAAGCTCCACGCAAATGGCCTGTGAAATTGTAGCGTGTGTCCTCGCCTCTAAAACTCAAGAATACATGGTATTTCCATTGATTGGTGAAACAAGGAGGAGAAGAAGATGAGGCAGCTGATGCTGCTGCTTCTTTAGCCATTGAAGCTAACCAGATGATTGTTGCAAACAGATGATTGTTTCAATAGAGTTTCAATTAATGTTTGACAGGCTACATGATTCATAAGTATTAACTTGTTCACAAATTAACAGTTGACTTTGGAATGAGGAGTGTGACGAATGACGATGCTTCTTAGGACATGGGAGTCATTGGCGATGGTATTTTCTTGTTATGTGCTCTCCTCTTGTCATTATCTTACAAATCAAGTTGAAAAGGAAAAATACAAAAGCACCTGATACCTTGAGAATCACGAAATGCACCACCATACTCTGCACAGCATGTAGACTTATTTTCGTTTTAGAAAAATCAATTTTATTGCCAAGTGTTTTTCAAAGAAAATATTAGGGCTTGTTTGGTATCCTATTTAAAAAAATTTATAATTTCTCAAAACATTTCTTAACAATTTTTCTTGAAAACAATTTTCTTTAAGACTCAAAAACTTATTTGGTATGCAATTTAAAAAATTTAAATCTTAGAACATAAACTAGACAAAAAGATCCAAAAAGAGGGGATCAAGAGAGAAAGAGGAGAGAGGAGGAAAGAGAAGGAAGTGAGAGGATCGGAGGAGATAGAGAGGAAGAGAAGTGAGAGAAAGAACCAAGAGAATGAAGAGAGCGGATTAGAGGAGAGACTAAAAAGATAAAAACAATAAGGGTAAATTACATTTTAGCCCCTCAGGTTTGGGGTCGATTTCAATTCCTTACAACATCTTTAAAATATTTCAATTTCATACATTGGCTTATCATTTTATTTCAATTTCATACATCCGTTAAGTAAACCATTAAGTGATGACGTGGCTATCAAATTTGTACCACATAGCAAAAACAATAATTTTTATGCATTTAAAATATTATAATAATTTATCCTATTAAAAAAAAAACCAAAACAAAACATAAACCCAGAAAACCCCTCCCCCGACCTACCTCCCTTCCCCTTCCCTGCAACCTAAACCCCCCATCCCCCACCCCACCCCACCTCACTTCCCCTAAGACGACGTAAGACAGTACGACGGCAGGGCCCTAGTGATTTTTTGCCTCCAGTCGGGTGAGCAAGAATATTCTGGCGCCGATGATAGCGCAAACGCGCCACCATCATCTCCTCTGCCGCGTGCCACCACATGTAAGTGCAGCCTCTCCATCGTATCCCCTCATCGTCTCTGTCACGCCTCGATCCCAACATACGTCCAGAATCGACACGTGACGTCACCAATACCCGTACATCTAACATACCCCGCCTCCGGGATATGTACAAAGCATAAATCAAGATTCAAATTTCATAGCATTTTTCGTACATTTTATGGCTGCATCTAACCTCTTCATTAGACTGCCTACGTACTCTCAATAGGGATCAAGCCATTCGTAGTTCAACTTTCGTCAAACTTTAAACTTTTCATAAAATACTCATAGTGAAAAAAAACATAGGGTACCACACTACGCATCAACCATAAGCCATACACAATTATCATCTTGTCATGCACGTAGGTATGCTATGCCCACACATATATTTTCCACTTCATTCTTCATATAAATCACTACATTTCACATGATTCTCCATTTCATAATATGCAACATCTCAAAGAACAATCAACGGATCACCATGCTATTCTCTAGCCAAAATAGTCAACGAATCTAATTATAATGACAAAAATCACAATCAACATTATTCCACAATCACATCAATCAACAATACATCATATACCAAAATGCAGGGTTAGAGCGACACAGTTTGACCGAAGCCTACATCTCAGAAGTTGATATCAATCCAAGGAACTAACAAGTCATTGATACGATTCCGGACCATCAATCAACGAAATCCAATCAGGATACGATTCCGGACCATCACTCAACGGAATCCAATCAGAATACAATTCCGGACCATCACTCAACGGAATCGCGAAGTAGAAGGGATTCCGGACCATCACTCAACGGAATCCAATCAGAACTCAGTTCCAGACACAATAGAACTGAACGGAAGTCTAGGAAGCATAACAACGGCTCGAAAGAATAAGACATGATTCAAGTTACTCAATTCACAAAGACTCAACGAAACGAAACAATACCAAGCAACAAATGTCATCACAATGGGTTATCGGTCCATTACTAGATCTCACATCTCCCAAGCAATTCAATATGCATTTCAATCACATGACACAACCATTTCCAATACACAAGTCAAATCACATTTCACTACATCATACCAATCACTATGCTTCCAACATTATATCTCAATCCATAACTTGTAACATATCAGGGAATCACGAAGCACAATATTAATATTTAATTACGTTAATCAATTAGTGAGATAGCACATCATTTCACTAGTTTAATTAAAGAACTCTACCTAATTCCCTACTTGGGTTATGAATAATAACATGGTAATTCTCATTTGTATGCACAAGATCCATTATGCGTAATTCTCATTCACTCGAATCTAGGATTCTAAGATAACCTTATGGAAATGAGCAAAAGCAAAGATTCCGGACCACTCAACAGAATCCAACAACACTGAGTTTTGGACCACTCAACGGAACCAAATTACAAGTGTGAGATAATCAATAAAGAAAAGACCATTGATCATAGTTTATAACCTCAAATATAAGTTCATAAATATGAAAACATAATCAAGTCTCTAACAATTCCGAAGGAGTCACCCAGACATCCAACGACTTATCCCATTCAACCATCAAGATTCTCAAAAACCATCATTCATATGTACATTAAAACTAGGGCTAGAGGAACGCAGTTCAACTGAAGCCCACATAAGTAACCAAACAGGAAGTGCCCCCCCCAAAGCAGATTAACCAAGCAGAACCACCCTTGAGAAAGTAACCAAGTAGGTAGTGACCCCCCAATGCGGATCAACTAAGCAGAGTCACCCATACAACTATTAGGAAGTGATCACCCAATGCGGATTAACCAAGCATGATCACTCCTAAGCATACATGGCCATAAGGATTACCCAATGCGAATTAACCAAGAGCGATCCATATATAGTATGGTCCCCCAATGCGGATTAACCAAGCAGGACCACTAATGACCCCCCAATGCGGATTAACCAAGTAGGGTCAAAATAATCAGGTAGGTAGAGATCACCCAATGCAGATATACCAAGCATGATCACTCCTATAATGCGTATGGTCCCCCAATGCGGATATACCAAGCAGGACCATCAATGTACAACTACTACATGGTGTAGTAAACTCAACACCTCAACTTATCCACATTTCAACCCTTATGAGTTACAACATAGTCACCTACACCATCAACTTCTCGAGGTCACCACTAATATGTCACCCAAGCATATAAGTGCTACAACATACCTCTAATAGGATTCTAGGATCACATTGTCATGAAAATAATCATACACCTCATACATATCTAACCACATTTCATAAACGTTTCCAAGCTATAATCGATTCACAATTACCAAACATAGATCGATGCTAAAAATAAAAATAACAATTCAATAGAAAGCACATTTAATAAGCAAGTATATCTCAATATGGTGCCACTAATACATATATCGAGACACACGTCATCTAGGAACAACACATCATCGTGATGAGCCAACTAACTTCCATCAAGCCTCAACAACATACTAGAGGTAAGCAACACTCAAGAGTAGAGCACGTTAACTAAAGAGTCAATCGTCGATAAGGTAGGTCCATTAAGGTCAACAAACTAAGGTTATTCAATCCGAAGATCCGCACATCTGATTTCCGATCTATAAGTTCTCAAAGGTCTAACAACTAATAATTAGGGTGTTCACAAAATTGTACGACGAACCAAAGATCGGATTGTCATCAATCACACAAACAAGTGGCGGTCCAATTTGATCACCACACCAAACAATTGAATTTCGGGAAACCAAGCTAGACATAGGTTCACAGGGTCACTGGAAGGTATTTGGTACTTAAACAATACTCGTGGACTGTCCCACGCACTGCCACACGTGGTGGTAGCCAAGGTGGAGGGTTTAGAAAACCCAAATTTCAATATTAATTAAATAAGTTCAAATTTACGTAGTAGCTAGAGCTCAACAAGGGAAACACTTTTCACAACTAGCCCAACGACAAATTCAAGCCGTATACCATCCTATTTCACCGGGGAAAACCGAATTTCTAGGGTTCTAAACACCCAACACTAAAACGACTACAAAAACACAAACCAAGCATACCAACTTGAAGATTATGAAGAGTAGGTAAAGTTTCATACCTCACTTGAGGGAAATGGTTGCCGGAATCGCCAGAAAAATGAAAAAACCGCCAGAAAACCCACGGAACTTTGCTGCCTCGAACTGGAAAAATGGATAAGAAAATGGAAAATCTAACATTACAGAGTTGTAGGGCTCGCCAAGAGCTTTCCATGGACACCAAGATCACCCAAAACGGAGCTCGGATGAAGGAAATACAAGCAGGTCAAAAGGGTCGAAAATGCTAAAAAACAGGTCAAAACCAGATCCTCCTTCCCTCTTTTTTTTTTTTTTGTTCTGACCGTTCCCTTTTATTTTCCATTTCTCCTTGGTCCCTCTCCCACTATGTGGGAGTTTTAAAATAAATTAAAATATATAGTTTAGTAACACAACTTCAAATATCCGTAACTATACCGCTAAAACTCGGACTCGCAAGCGGCTTTCGTCTATACGTTCGTGATCTTGAAATCTATTCAACGATATAAATTGTGACCTCGAAAGGTCTACAGATTTTAAATAATTAATCTCCAAACTTCAAACTTCGTAACTAATTTAATTAAAATCTTAATTCAAACAAATTAAAATAAATTCTTGAAAAATAATATAAAATCTCAATAATACAAATACGTAGATTATAACAGTGAAATCCAGGAACGAGATTTCACAGTCTCCTCCGCCGCCCGCCACCATCTGTAAAAATTCAAACTCATGTGGGGGGTCTTGCGAGGGAGGTAGGGTGGGGTGGGATGAGGGGTTTGGGTTGCAGGGAAGCGGAAGGGTGGTGGGTCGGGGGATGAGTTTTCTGGGTTTGTGGTATTTTTTTTTAAATAGGATAAATTATTATAATATTTAAATGCATAATTGTTTTTGCCACGTGTCACAAATTTGACAGCCACGTCACCACTTAATGAATTTTCTAACGGATGTATAAAATTGAAATAAAATGATAAGTCAATGTATGAAATTGAAATGTTTTAAAGATGTTGTGATGGGTTTGTAAGTTCATTATGATAAATCAACTACTTGCTCATGTAGTTCTTTTCTTTTGTTTTTTTTAAGTAGAGCGATAATATTAGTAAGTTAAGTGTTAGATTAGCTTTTTAGGGTTCAAATCCACACCATCATGTAATGACACCACACATTTTTATCACTATGATAAAGAGTCACTTACTCATGTGCAAGAGGTAGTTTTATTTTGCATTTTTGTAGTTTTTTTCTTTTTAATTAAGTTGTATTCCTTAAAAAATAAAAAAATAGAGCGGTATTTAAGAACTTTTTAAAAACTTCGCCTTTTTAGTGTTTGAATTAAAGAGTTTTGTGCTTATGATCAAAATCGTTTGAATCACACCGTAAAATCATCTTTGCGAAAAATGAATTAAAACTAAGGTCGTTTAGGTAATCTATTCTACCAAACACATAGACAGTTCATAATGTTTTTATCAATTCTGTTAATATGTTTTTATACAATTCGATTACTACACGACCTTAGTTTTGATTTTTGCAAAAATGATCTTTATAAAATGATTATAATACGAATAGTTCTGATTATAAACATGAAATTCTAAAAATTAGAAACAAACAATTATGAGTAAAAACTACTACTCATTCTTTACGCAGCCAAATATTGGTTCGAGGAATAGCCAAGTATTAGTCTAAGAATAGCCAACAAGTTTATATTCGACAGTTGGTATATAGAGCTTCATAACTTCATTGGCCTTTGTGTATGCTTATTCAGTCGCTAGTTGACGACGCGACGGTCACTCCAATGTTTTCCCACCCCAAATCCCATCATATTCAATTACCTTCATCTGTTATTCAACTACCTTCATCTATGTCAACCAACAAGCAAAAGTGTCGTTCGGCCTCTGAGAGCAGAAAAGAGGATTAGGGTTTGAAAAGAGGGATGAAATTAAAGTCAGATTCATCTACAAAATTGACGTGAACTGAATTTGTCAGGAGTCGGCTAGTCGCAAGAATGAAGATGAAGAGGATAACGAGGATAACCACAAGACCTCCATCTCCAAGTGATCTTCCTTCTTTCATGTTTACTTTTCTGCAGAATACAAGCAGTGGATTTCATTCCGACGCTGTTAATGCTAATCCTTCATGTATGCATAGAATTAAACAAACCCATTTGGTGTCGGAGAGTATGATTCAGACTCGATGCAAATCTGGAAAAATTAGGAAAGATGAAGCATTGGGTTACTTCGATTCCATGATTCAAACCAAACCCTTGCCCTCTATTTGGACTTTCAATTGTTTGTTTGGGGCACTCTCCAAGATGAAGGAATATTCTGCTGTGGTTTCTATGTGTAAACAGTTGATGGGTTGCGCTCAATTCCGACCTGATGTCTGTACAATCAATATTTTTCTGAATTGCTTGTGCCGTCTAAACCAGGTGGATTTGGGTTTCTCTGTTTTAGCAATTACCCTTAAATATGGTCTTAAACCCGATGCTCGTTCTTTAACTATTTTGCTTCACGGGCTTTGCATGTACAATTCCCTGGCTGAGGCAATGGAGCTGTTCAAGTTAATAGAAGAGAAAGGATACGAATGCAATGAAATAACTTATGCTACCATGATCAATGGACTATGCAAAGCTGGGATAACTTCTAAGGCACTCGAGATACTAATGAAGATGTGGGAAGATGGAAGGTTGAAGCCCAACCAAGATTGCTACAATCCCATCATCGATAGCCTCTGTAAAGAAAGACGAATAGAAGAGGCCTTGACCCTATTTCGAGATATGATCAGCAAAAATGTTGTACCGAATGTTTTCAGTTATACCACATTGATTCATGGGTTATGCAACACGAGCCGCTGGGAAGAAGTGCTCTCTCTTTTTGGAGGAATGGTAGATCAAGGAGTCAAGCCTAATGTTGTCACCTACAACACTCTAATTTATGCGTTGTGCCAATCGGGGAGGTTTGAAAAAGCCAAGAGCTTCTTGATTTGCATGCTTAACAGTGGAATTTCACCCGATGTATACACATATAATGTTCTTATCGGCCATCTTTGCAAGGAAAAAAGAATTCATGAAGCGCTTACTCTGTTTGAAAAGATGACAACGAATGACCTAAAGCCTGATGTTGTCACTTTTAATTCCTTGATTTCTGCTTCATGCAAGTCTGGTAACTGGGAGGAAGGTGTGAGGTTATTTAAAACCATGACTGGTTATGGAGTCCTGCCTAATATTGTTACATACAATTCTGTACTGGATGCTTTATGCAAGGAAGGGAAGACAGCAGAGGCGCTGAATCTTGTGGAAGAAATGATTTTTAGGGAGGAAAAGCCTAATGTTGTGACTTACAACTCCTTAATTAATGGATTGTGCCGTACCAACCAATGGAGAGAAGCCACAAGGTTGTTTGACAAAATGTTATGCCATGGAATCTTACCTAATTGCATAACTTTGAAGATACTTTCTGGTGCTCTCTGCAATGGAGGGATGACCGATGAGGTTCGCAAAGAATTTAAGTCGAGAATGGATGGAGCTTTGAAGATTTTTCCTAATGCTTCATGTGCAGAATAATATGCTACCTGGTTTGAAATTTATATTAATGAAGAGTGGTCGTATATTAATGAATAGATTTCGGTGTGATGGGGTAAGCCACTGGTTATGTTTTTCTTGTTTCTGTTACGTGCTCTTGTGCTACAATGGAAACTCTTTTTCGTATAAACGTAAATTCGTTCAGTTTTCAAATGCTCTGTAGCTAAGGATTAATGTCGGCCCCTCCGTAGTAATCTAAAATTTTCTCATCCAAACACTGTGTTGGGGTATGTTTGGATAAGGAACTACCAAATTCCAAGGAACTAAAGCATAGTGATGAAGAAATAGATTATAAAAGAATTAGATAGGAGAAATTAGAAATGCACCACATGACCATTACAAAAAACAGACCGACTGGATACCGCGTAATACAACGATGATTGCTGAGCTGGTCCTCCCTCCCTCATCTAAGAATGCGCTTTAATTAGTCCAGAAGCTAACTTCTTGTCCACCTTTACAACAACAACAACAACAAAGCCTTTTCCCACTAAGTGGGGTCGGCTATATGAATCCTAGAACGCCATTGCGCTTGGTTTTGTGTCATGTCCTCCGTTAGATCCAAGTACTCTAAGTCTTTTCTTAGGGTCTCTTCCAAAATTTTCTAGGTCTTCATCTACCCCTTCGGCCCTGAACCTCTACCCCTAGGCCTTCTTTGCACATGTCCAAACCACCGTAACCAATTTTCTCTCATCTTTTCTTCAATTTCGGCTACTCCTACTTTACCTCGGATACCCTCATTCCCAATCTTATCCTTTCTCGTGTGCCCACACATTCCACGAAGCCTCCTCATTTCCGCTACACCCATTTTGTGTACGTGTTGATGCTTCACCGCCCAACATTCTGTGCCATACAACATCGCTGACCTTATTGCCGTCCTATAAAATTTTCCCTTGAGCTTCAGTGGCCTACGACGGTCACACAACACGCCGGATGCACTCTTACACTTCATTCATCCAGCTTGTATTCTATGGTTGAGATCTCCATCTAATTCTCCGTTCTCTTGCAAGATAGATCCTAGGTAGCGAAAACGATCGCTTTTTGTGATCTTCGCTAGATTGCTCCGGTCATTAGTGTGGATAAGTATATAAATGGATAGAGATAGGAAAGCAAACACAAGATGTACGTGGTTCACCTAGATTGGCTACGTCCACGGAATAGAGGAGTTCTCATTAATTGTGAAGGGTTTACACAAGTACATAGGTTCAAACTCTCATTTAGTGAGTACAAGTGAATGATTTAGTACAAATGACATTAGGAAATATTGTGGGAGAATGATCTCGTAGTCACTAAACTTCTAAGTACCAGAGTGTGGTATCGTCTTGACTTGCCTTATCTGTCTCATAGGTAGATGTGGCATCTCCTCTGGAAGTACTCTTCCTCCATCCAGTGGTGGTATCTTTAACTGGTGGAGATGCACAAGGTAATGTATCAATTTCACTTGAAGCTTACTTGTAGTTTCAGGCTTGGTTAAGCACGATACAAACCATATAGTAGGAGTCCCCCAAGTCGCCGAGCTAGGGGATCTACTGAAAGAGGTGACAGACAAGGTAAGCAATCAGAGCTCCAAGCAATCAGTCCCAGATCAGAACTTTGATTTCGAGTTCCTGCTGATTGTTCACATTCTCCCTATCTTGCAGGCAGCATGATCTCGTAGTACAAATGACATTAGGAAATATTGTGGGAGAATGATCTCGTAGTCACTAAACTTCTAAGTACCAGAGTGTGGTATCGTCTTGACTTGCCTTATCTGTCTCATAGGTAGATGTGGCATCTCCTCTGGAAGTACTCTTCCTCCATCCAGTGGTGGTATCTTTAACTAGTGGAGATGCACAAGGTAATGTATCAATTTCACTTGAAGCTTACTTGTAGTTTCAGGCTTGGTTAAGCACGATACAAACCATATAGTAGGAGTCCCCCAAGTCGCCGAGCTAGGGGATCTACTGAAAGAGGTGACAGACAAGGTAAGCAATCAGAGCTCTAAGCAATCAGTCCCAGATCAGAACTTTGATTTCGAGTTCCGGCTGATTGTTCACATTCTCCCTATCTTGCAGGCAGCATGAAGGATAAAGAGAAGAAAAATGAGAAGAGATGATATGAGATACTTTTGCTTTTGAAGAAGTAACTTTCCACAGGCTTATTCTTGAACTGGGCTGGAGGGTTTTCTGGTTTCCTCCAGAGTATAAGGCCGACTGAAGAATTTGAGGGTCAAAACAAGTCCATCAAATCTAGAGTACGTTCGACCTTGCTGATATGGGATACTTTTTCTTTTGACAGAGTAGTGGATGTATCGACACGTGTGCTGTTACGCTTGTCTCCACATGCTTCCTTGTATCCTTCTCACTTGCCCTATATTTCCTCAGGCAGATGCGGTATCTTCCCTGAAAGCATAAGATGTTGAAGATGAGTACTCGAGAGCAATGCCATGTAAGTAATCAGGTAAGGGGTTCTAGGCAGTCAGTTCCTGACTGGAAGCTTGATTCCAAGTGCTGACTGATTGCTCTCTTTCTCATTGTCTTGCAGGTAAGAACAAGGCCAAAGGAAAAGACAGGGAAAAAGCATGATATGGGATACTCTTGCTTTTAACCCTGATGATATGAGATATTCTTGCTCTAGTATAGCTTGTTTGCAGAGGTATTATCGGGGGGGGGGAAAGAAAGCTGAATATTTCGAAAGGCTTCGTTGTGAGTGCCCTCTTAGATATGAGGAAGGGTTGAGCATTTTTGCAGGTCTGCCTGTCCGTTGGGGATGGAAGTCGACATATATAGGAGTCTCTCTAACAACAAGTAGTAATGCTATTCCTTTACCCTGCTTGGTCATAGCACGGTAGTGGAAGCTGCCAGCTTCACATGTTTTAACTCTATCAGAGCACTTTGAAAAAATGGTCTGTGGTATCTGGAAAGCTGATGTTGCGTGTGAAGATTACAGACAAGCTTTATCCAAGGAGATCCGGCTTTTGAAGTTGGGAAAGTGGTGCCTCTTCGGTTTTCGAACAAGCAATCCTGTCGATGATCTGGCTCTCGAGATTCGGAGAACGATGCCTCTTCGATTTTTTAGAAAGCAATCCTGATGGGGGTCTGGCTCTGGAGATTCGGAGAGCGGTGTCTCTTCGATTTTTGAGAAAGTAATCATGTTGGGAGTCTGGCTCTCGAGATTCGGAGGGCGGTGCCTCTTCGATTTTGGAGCAAGCAATCTTGTTGGGAGTTTTCTCGAATGTGAGTAAAGGTTGGGCATGTTTGCTAGTCTACCTTGCCACGAAGCACAGAGATTGACACACAGGGACTTTCCAATTATCCAGCAGTGGTACTGTTCCTTTACCATTGTGGGTAATAATATGGTAGTTAGACCTTCAAAATTTCTGTGTCTAAACTTTGTTAGTGCTGTTTCTTTGCTATTATTTTACCCTTCTTGGTCAGAGCGATGTAGTGGGAGTTGCAAGCTTCACGTGTCTCAACTTTGTCAGAGAACTTTGACAAAGTTATCTGTGGTACCCATGAGCTAATGTTGCGTGTGGGAAGTGGGTGATTGAACAGTAAGATTCATGTGCTTTCTACTTCACCAGAAATCTTCGACAGAATGCCCATAATTTCCACAAAGTTGAGTGTGCGTGTGACAGGTGCTGACAAGGCTGGAAAAGTAGGTGCCTCTTCGATTTCTGAGATCGGCCCTCGTGGTCTCTGAGCAGCCCAGCTTTTGAGAAAGCAAGCGCCTTTTCGATTTCTAAGATCGGCCTTCGTGGTCTTTGAGCAGCCCAACTTTTGAGAAAGCAAACGCCTCTTCGATTTCTGAGATCGACCATCGTGGTCTCTGAGCAGCCCAGCTTTTGAGAAAGCAAACGCCTCTTCGATTTTTGAGCAGGAACCTCTTCGATTTCTGAAGCTCTGTCGAGTGCAGATTTTTATAGAAGCTGGCATTAAGTTCCAAAGCACACTTGAATCTCCACCAGTAGAAGCTTCATTCTTGCACTTCTAAGATCTTGATTTGTCCGACCTCTTCTCTCTTCAACACCTTTGAAAATGTCTGGCCCCTCCAACCGTCGTTTTGACTTGAACCTTGTTGAAGAGGCAGTCACACCTTCTCCAAACAACATATGGCGCCCATCTTTCGTCTCCCCTACTGGTCCTCTTACCGTTGGGGATTCCGTGATGAAGAATGATATAACCGCTGCGGTAGTGGCCAGGAACCTTCTCACTCCCAAAGATAACAGACTACTTTCCAAACGGTCTGATGAGTTGGCTGTTAAGGATTCTCTGGCTCTTAGTGTTCAATGTGCAGGTTCTGTGACTAATATGGCTTAACGCCTATTTGCTCGAACCCGCCAAGTTGAATCATTGGCAGCTGAAGTGATGAGTCTCAAACAGGAGATTAGAGGGCTCAAGCATGAGAATAAACAGTTGCACCGGCTCGCACATGACTAAGCTACAAACATGAAGAGGAAGCTTGACCAGATGAAGGAATCTGATGGTCAGGTTTTACTTGATCATCAGAGATTTGTGGGTTTGTTCCAAAGGCATTTATTGCCTTCGTCTTCTGGGGCTGTACCGCGTAATGAAGCTTCAAATGATCAACCTCTGATGCCTCATCCTTCTAGGGTTCTGTCCAGTACTGAGGCTCCGAATGATCCCCATCCGATGCCTTCTCTTTCTGGGGCTCTACCGACTGCTGAGACTTCTCATAAGCAACCTTTGTGAAGGCTCCCTCATGTTTGTTTATTTTGACTCATGTATATGTACATATTTGTAACTTATCGGGGATATCAATAAATAAGCTTTCCTTCATTTTCATCGGTCATATCCTTGTATAAGGCTTTACAACATTCCTTCTTAGCCTTCACCTTTGTTTGTACCTCCTCATTCCACCACCAAGATTCCTTTTGGTGTGGGGCAAAGCCCTTGGACTCTCCTAATACCTCTTTTGCTACTTTTCGGATACAACTAGCCATAGAATCCCACATTTGGCTAGCTTCCCCCTCTCTATCCCACACA